TGATTTGTCAAAATATGCAGCTAAAAATCACTAGCACTATCTAATTTTTGCAACTAAAATCACTAGCACTGTTCTTATGGACACCACTAGCAGGCGTGAGTTGATGGACGCATATGCAAATGTACCATTGATTACATACAACAAGTCATCAACCCACAACGACAACGAGGATACACGTTGGATTATAGATCATTTACAACAAAACATTCTAGTAAAGTAAAGTTTTTCTCACACAACAAATAACAAAGCGATGAAATGAACTTCAGCTCAACCACTCGTCGGCGGTGGAAACACTTGCTTTGAACCAGAAGTGATTCTCTGGGAAGGGCCAGCTACTGTCAATCTCGAGACCAACGCAGGACTGATCATCTAGGCTGAAGCGGCCTATGTCAAGACCCATATTGGGACGGTAGGGAAGCATAGCAATGTCTGAGGTATAGATACAATTGCTTCTCATAAATGGTAGTAACATTGTGTCAACAGCAGCTGGATCGCCTTCCACCATCATTGGATAGTTTTTTCCAAGGAAGAGCGAGTTTCCTCCAAGACTTTCAATACTGAACCAGGGAGAAGGTGTTGGCGCTAGTACACTAGTATCCATCCTGAATACTCTGCAACTGATGTTGGAATAGGTCCGAAGAGTGCGACCATGCGAGACAACACCTGCTTCCTTAGTAACATTAGCAGTGCCCTGTATACAGACAAGAAGAGGTGATCCATCGGAATAAGTTGCCAGGTGCCACTGAGTATATGGGTCCTACTCGTCCTCATGCTCGTGATCATCAGCATCGTCATCTCCCCCTTGGTTATACAAATTTTCAAGTATAGGTGGTGTAATGTTCACAGGACCTTGGAAACACAAAATGGTTAATTAGTAAAGGGAAACTAGCTAACCCGCATGCATGTGGATGAAACAATTATAATTACGATGGAAGACAAACGTACCGAAAGCATCAGGATTCCATGCAAAAATAGTGCCACAAGTGGTGGTAGCAAAGACAAGACCCTCGTATTGAATTGCATCACAGTACTCATCCGTGTATAGAAATTGATTTTTGAGCAATATCCATCGAGGCGTGGAAGTAAGGACAGCAACAAGCTTGTCGAAGATAGCAACAACTTCATAGTTCGTGTAATCCCAAGAGCGGTTGGGAACTCAACAAATTGCTATCTTCCATAGACGATAGTCACCATGATTGTATTTGAACTCACATAGAATACCGGTGTACTCAACCTCTGGGCAGTCTGAGATTTTTGGAAGTGGAACCCGATGACAAGTATACACATTCACAAGTTCCCACTCGCAGTTGTACTCAATACAAACAACCCAATCTCGATTTGCGCCTGCCCAAGCCTTGCCCTCAAGCGATGGCATCTTAACATCATATGTATCATTATCAAGTGACATCAACTTGCACAAGGCGAGGCTTCCCTCGTCCCCGCACCAGTCAGCAAGGTCATGACGAAGAAGATAGGGGAGATCAAACCGCTCCTGGACCCTTGGGTTCCTTGTAATGATGTTATTAGTTGAGTCAAGAATGGTCTTGAACGAACCTGCCATGCTAGCGAGGTGATGACATCGCACCGATCAATGAGTTCCTCCACCACGTCATCTTTCAGATCGGGGCAAGAATAACAGGGTCATTTCCGGCCTGTTCCCTCCATGGAGAAAATGATCGAACAATGGCAGAAGAAGGGTGAAGGCAAATGGAGAGAAGAAGAGCATGCGACAGCAGTTCCAAATCGAGAGGCAAAGGCGAAGAGGCGGTGGACGGTTGCCACGGTACAAGAAGAGGCTAGTGGGGAGCGAATAGTTGCCACAGAGGTCACACACTGACGACAAGGCCAAGTGAACCGCATGCCATATATCGCACACACATTGATCTGGCTGACCGTTTCTTTTGTGTTGCATAATCACAAACACTTCATCTGAGTGAACCGTATGCTATACATCGCACACACCTTCATTTGGATGACCGTTTATTTTGTGTTGCCTAATCACAAACAGTTCATCCAAGTGAACCGTATGATGTACATCGCGCACACCTTCATCTGGCTGCCCGTTTCTTTTGTGTTACCTAATCACAAACAGTTCATCCGAGTGAACCGTATGTTGTACATCGCACACACCTTCATTTGGCTGCCCGTTTCTTTTGTGTTGCCTAATCAGAAACAGTTCATCCGAGTGAACCGTATGCTGTGTATCGCACACACCTTCATCTGGTTGACTGTTTCTTTTGTTCCTACTCATTGCAAACAGTTAATTGAACTGAACCATATGCCCTGCATCACACACGCAACTAAAATCCAAACAGTGTTTGATGCATCCGTCATCACAAATGTTTTGCACCTTTTTTGACGGGTTTTTACACCACTGTTTGCGATTATTGCATCACACATAGTTTCGTTGAAGGGTCTCTGATCGTAGTGTCGCGTTAGCAGCATCCTGCAGTAGTGGACTATTGGAATTGGCATACGTTTTTCAAAAGTACGGGTCCTGTGACGTGAAGCTGGTGTTATGGTCAGTGGAGTAGGGCTAAAGTGTGCTACAGTTGGGGCTGTGTTTTCTTGGGCTGGTGATATGGACACTACAAATGGAGTGCTATTTGATTTATTAGGTATCACTGCCATTTCCAAATACTTTGTTTGTACTCCTTTAGGATCTGCGATCATCCTCTTCCTTTTGGACATCTGTTATGAAAGAACAACATTTAAGTGGAAAAACATGGTATGATGACACATGGAATAGGTATAGAAAATGGATAGGCATGTCATATTCTCATATATGATGTGTAAACTAAGCAGATGGTGGTGTAACAAAGTAGAAGTAATACAAGACATCATATGCAAGATACATGTGACCAATACAACCTTGCCAAGCTAGAGCAAGCACCTTGATGGATGAATAAGATAGGTCATTTGACTCTGACTCATCTGGAAGCTAAATAGACTTAGGTCTCACATCTTTAGGATCATATTCTGAAATGGAATCTGTAGATGGGAACCTAATTAGACTTGTGTTCCATTGCATCCAAACATGACCTCAATCCCTTGATGCCAAGTTTGTTAGCCAATGGATTATTCCGCAATATTCCTCTCGTGTGCCCATTCTCATATGCATTATGATCATATTCAATACCTGACATGTATGAAAACATAAAAATAAGTGAGATTATCTTTGTAACGCATAGGGGATTCTAATCCAATAGTGCATCCTTGTAAACCTACGTCATATCTTTGTGCAATTCTTCTAAGAGATGCCATGTGTGCTATAATTTGGTGTGTGCATTAATATAATATGGCCTACTACTCAAAATATAGGCTCCCTGTTGAGAGCTCTAGAAGTAAGGATACTTCGTAGATGACAGCTTCAAAATATACTAAGGAAGAACAACTCGACCTGACCCATCGAACACAAATTTCTCTACTTCTCTTAGCAACAAGGAACATACTATACTTATTAAATAAGAAGAGAAGAGGATCATGTTAAAGAAGAGCAAGCAGATCGTAGATATTACAAGTCTTTCTATACAATGGTTGTTGCGCACCCATGATGAACCAGAGTGCACAGAGAAATACTATTCCTTCCTATCTCTCTATATGTGGCTCACATGCGTTTCAAAACTAAAGTAGGAACATTTAGCTAGCCAATCAAATGTGTCTCTGTTTTAATAATATCAACATCATATCAGATTTGTATTTGTACAACTAAGCTTGTTTATATTGATGGGTGGAGTAGTACTGCTGAAAACAACGCCAGTTCGTGTTAGTTTCATTCAAATCATGTAAATTAGAGTCCAAAACAAGAGAAAAGTTGTTTGGAAAATTAGATGCGTTGGAGATGTATCAGGTTCTTGGGGTCTTGGACCCTCGGGTACCCGACCCCCTCTGCTTTTCCCGACCCCTAATCTGTCCGGGTGCCCGGGAACTTTGTCCCCTTGGTGCTCGGGGCTGGGGACATTTCTTCTGGATGGTCCGCGTAGCCGGAATTGCGGTTGTGCAACGTCTATTTCCCCCGTGGGGATATAAATAACCCCTTCTTCTTCCGCCCAACCCTAATATGTCCGCAAAATCTCCAAAATCTTGGGATCTCCTTCCCCAACCATCCAAACTCTCTCATACTTTGATGATAGGAGGAGATTCACCCGATCTACACTTGCACCAAACCGTTTGTGTTCCTCGGCTTCTACATCTACATCGACTTGTTACTCTTGGGTGCTTGGGCACCCTAGACGGAAGAGGTTATCGTGGAGCCAAAATCTATATTGAAGCTTCGTGCTGGTGTTGGGAGCCTCCAGTTAAGTTGTAGAGAGACCCCCAACCTTGTTTGTAAAGGTCCCGGTTGTCACCTTCAAGGGCACCGCTAGTGGATTCACGATACCTTTCATTGTGTGAGGGCATGAGGAGAATAGGGAGAGTCCTTAGGATGCTTGGGGAGCATTAGCCTCCACACCCCTCCAATGGAGAAGTAACCCCCCCCCCCCAAAGGGGGGAACTTCACAAACACATCCTCATCTCCATCGATTCCACTTGCGGTTATTTCGTTCCTTTACTTTGTGCTAGTTATTATCTTGTGTTTACTCTTGCAAGCACTTGTTACTTGTTAAGATTTTCATATAGGTTGTCCACCTATCTACATATATAGAAAACTTATTATTTTTTGAGCCTAAAATTTGCAAAAGAAGTTAAAATTTTGTTAGTATCCTCATCACCCCCTCTAGTCGACCATACCGATTCTTTCAGCTGCCAACAAGGTTAATATCCTCCCCTCCCCCTCTGTTCATCGCTCTGCGGCAGTGCGGAAGGGGTGGATATTCCAGTCACTATTGTTTTTCTTAAATCAACACAAAAAAATCCACACAAAAGAAATATGTGCCAGTACGTCTGGCATAGTTCAGTGATAACATTGTGGGCTTATTAATTTTGAGGAGTTTACTCATCGAAATTACTATGGACTCTTATTGTAGTTTCCCACATTCATGTCCTCGCCGACTCGCTAACTACATGGTCAGCATCTTCGTTACACCCAGAGTGATTGCACATTGCACCTCGAACTCGCTGTTCTCGGCATCGAATGGCGACTTCACGCCTGCCTCGAGGAACTTGTCATCGCAATATTTGGGAATGTCCAGTGCGGAGCTGAGGCTCGTCACTGCGTCGCCCAACCTGCCCAACGAGATGCCCCTGGCAGCCTTGTCAAATAGGCCCACAACACTGGAGTACATATTGTCACAGTAGGCGAGGACATGCTGGATAATTTGATCCTTTTCCTCGGCCTTCAGGGTGGCGACGCGCTTGCGGGTGTCCACAGCTGTCGCACTGGCAATCCCAATGGCGATGACAGCAAGGCCACGCTTGTCCGTGGTGGCGCTATCCTTGTTGGCCTTGAAGAACTTGATGCAGATATCGTAGATGTCAGCACCATCGAAGCGCCTGCATGTGTCTTCTATGACGGAAGCACTGGACGAGGCAAGGAGGAGGACAACAACAAGAAGCGAGAGAGCTTGCGGCGACCTCATGGTTTTGCCGCAACAATTTTCTTGTGTTTCTGAGATGTTTTGTGTGTCGAGGTTGGTTTGTCAAACTGTAGGTGCATGGTATATATAGGATATTGTCATCTAAAACACTAAATTCGGATGTATATCAATCAATCAATGCCGAATAACCTTGGCAGAAAGCATGGCTACAATTAATTAACATTTATTGCTTCCTTCTCTATCAATAAATATTTGATACATCTATCAATTGATCAAATTATTAAAGCAATATAAAATGGACAGTCCAGATTTAAACCATAGAAAATAATGGTAGCGGTTTAGTCCTAAATGGAATGTCCAATGGAGATTTATAAGATATTTTCAGTTCCTAGTTATTACTCGATTCCAATATACGTAGTCGACGACATACAACGGGAGGAAGAAGATGGCTCGCAGGCCTATAAGTAGCGGACGCGGCTATGTGCCGCCCGCGGTGAGCCCTACCATGGTCCGCCTGCAGGCCAACATGTATTGGGCTGGCTTAGTAGTCGCGACTCGCCTGATGACATTGTGTTACTTTTTTCTTTATTTTTATCTAAAAAAAATCTTTTTTCTTCATTTTTCCATATTTTAGTTTTTTCTTTGATTTTCACTTTATTTATATTCAGAAATATTCTATATATATGTATCACAAAACCATTTTACATAAAAGTTTAGAAAATGTTAATGCTGCATTTGGAAAATGTTAATCGTGTATAAAAGATGTTTTTTATCTATACAAAAAATGTAAAATGTGAAAAATTAGAAAATTTTAATCATGTCTACAAAAAATATTAGTCATATGTACAAAACCTGTTTATGCATTATACAAAAATCTTTGTGTAATTAAAAAATGTTCATGATATTTCCAAAAAATGTTTATACAACATAATTTTTTGCATAGTTCAAAAATATGTTTTTATCATTAAGTAATGTTCCAATGTGTATTTAGAAAATGGTTTTTTTACCAACTACAGTGGGGGGAAATCCCTATTGTGATCTTTTTCATTAGAAGATTAGTGGTTAAGCAGTGTACAAGGGAGGCATGATCATGCCAGTTACATCCAATTAGGCTAGATCTATTACATCAATAAAAATTCGTACGTACTGTCTAGCCATGACAACATACCCTCTTTGATACTAGGCCTAGCCCAGATCATAGTGTCTTGAAAATATCTATTGAAGCTAGTCTTGCAATTTATGATGGAGCATGCGATGTCTTCAAATATTTTGTCATTTCTCTGGTTCCATATAGCACAGCTTCCAGTGATTAAAATTTCCATGAACAAATCCCATTTATATCTGTGTTTTGCATCTGTGATCATCATGTGAATGTCTAGATCAGTGTTCCATTCTATACCAATACTCCACCAGAAACCTTGACTGAATGGGCAGCTGAATAGTAAATGAGTTCTGTCTTCCAGATTATGGTCTCTGCATTATACACAAATAGTGTTCTCTAGTGTGAATTTTTTTCTAGTCAGTAGATCACAAGTGTTTATTTTGTCATTGAGAATAAGCCAGGAGAAGAATTTATGCCTGGGTAGACAGCAAGTTTCCCATATCCATTACATTGGCAAAGGGCTTGTTGATTTCTCATAAGGATTTTATAGATTTTTTGCAGAATATTTGGAGTTTCCCCACATAAAAAATCATTTATTTTGCTCCTGGTTATCCCTGATTTCTTCAAGCTATCCAGATAGGTTGATTAATTGATCATATGCAATCATAGATAGAGGGAGTTGGAACATGCTGCTATGGTCCATCACAGATTATGCCGGCTGGATTGTGATGTTGGTATATGTTGCATATGAGTGTAGTTCAGCCCAGTTCCTTTTTAGAATACTGCCACTTTTCCATACATCTTCCCGTAGTAGAACAATGTTTTCTTTGTTTACTTGACAAGTTGCCATACCTTTGTATAAATCAGTTAAGCTCACACGGTCCTTCCACCAAAAGATCCTTTGTTCTTGCTTGCATGAGGTGTGGTGTTGTTTGAATAATAGGCTTGCTACACCAGATTGACCCATGGGATGTTCTCATGATTGTAGAATTTGTGTAAGTGCTTGATTATCAGAGCAATATTCTACATTCTGAGATTTAGAACACCAATTCCACCTTTTTTGGGTTTGCAAATCATCTTCCAACTAGTAAGACAATTCCCCTTTTTGTTTATGTCATTTCCATACCAAAGGAAATTTCTGCTAGCTTTGTTGACATGTTCCAAAATGGTGTAGTGAACCTTGAAGGTACACATAGCAAAAACGGGCATAGATGCAACCACTGAATCAACATATGTCAATCTGCCAGCATAATTCATGAAATTTGCAACTCCATATAATCTTTTATCAATTCTAGCTATGGTTGGCATAAGATCATGTACAAAGGGTTTGGTCGTACCTAGAGGTAGGCCCGGGTATGTAAATGGAGGACTTCTAATTCTATATCCAAAATTTTCAGCTAAGTCAATGGAAGTAGCATTATCAATGTTGATGGGGAGAATGGAAGATTTGCTGTAATTTACAAATAAACCTCTAGACATGCTGAAAAAATGGAATAAGGATTTGAGATACATCAATTGATCTTTATCAGACGACATAATAAGGAATGTATCATCTGCATATTGAATGATTGGGTATTGTTGTCCATAGCTATCATCCACTGAAAGTGATAATTCACCATTTATCCATGCCATATTAACAATTGTTTGAAGGAGATCAACAACAATGACATATAGAAGGGGTGATATAGGATCACCTCATCCAACATCTCTTTTGCATATAATTTTCTTCCCAGGAACACCATTTAATAGAACAGAAGTGGAGGATGAATTAAGTAATTAATCATGTGACCCAGTTAATCCATCCGGGTCCAAAACCTTTGGCCTTAAGCATCTCAATGATGGCATTATATTCAATCTTTTCAAATGCCTTCTCAAAATCAAGTTTAAGAATGATAATTGGCCTTTTTGATGTGTGGCATATACTGAGATATTCAAAAGTGTGTCCAAGGCAGTCCTGAATATTTCTCCCATCTCAATGATGGCATTTAGAAAATGGTTAACGTGTATTTGAAAAATATTCAAAACATGTTTTTGTGAAAATGATAAAGATGCCATCTTGTAATATAGTAGTTGGAGTGGATTCAATCTTATATTACTTTTGTGGAACTACCATGTTCATCGTGATTCATCTCATCTTGTTTGTGCCTTTGATCTGCGAGTAAATTCCCTAGTTCCCGGTGATATGGAGAGGAATCCTAGTATGTAATAGACCGTCTGGTATTAGGGTTTAATATTTCCTTTTTATGTTTATGTTAATAGTCTTCTTTATGTTGGGTGAAGTCGACCATCCAACATATTCTAATTTTAGATGGAAGGTTATTTATTGCTGGCATGATGGTTGGTTGCAAAGGTAGGTTAGTGACGGAGCTTATCTCCCTTCATCCCTGATCATTGTAGAAGGGGGTAAACGGGTGTCGCTTTCAGCTGTGTCCACAGGGGAAACCCCTTAGTTATCATTCAGTAATTGGGGTGCTGATGAATAGTAGTGGTGTATGTGATACATGTCTGTCGCATCTACACACGTATCTGTACGTGGCTATGCCCACAAATAAAAATATAAGAAGTGGCTTAGGAATTAGATGTAGCATTAGGCATCGGTCATGTAGACACATACTAGCAGGGAATCAGGACTCCCTGGGAATGCTTTAGTCCTATCGATTTCAATAAGCTTTATCCAAGTTTTGTGTTACTTTACTTCATGTTTGCAAGTTTACTTCACTTTTTGCTACCATCATCCAATACTTTTATCCGTTTCCACTTTGCTTTGGGTCGCATTTAACTTGCAGACATTGTTATTTAAACTCTTCAAGAGACAAAGATTGATTCATGTGCTCCATGTGGGATCAATACTCTTACTTCGAAAAAGCTGCAACTAGGCCCTCTACACTTGTAGGCCATCAAGCATTTTCCGGCATCCTCGTCGGGGAGCTGAGCACTTTTAGTCTTTGCTTGAAGTTTGGTTTATTTGTGTGTACTAAATTTTTGTAGGTTCTGAGCAACCATGGCTAAGTTTGGGCACTTTTACCAACTCACTGCAATGCAACTTATTGGATGATGTCCTGCAAGTGCACAGGGTTGTTGTAGCCCTTTCGTGATAAGTAAAGAGTTGAACCCATGGGGAGTTGATTCGTCTCCAACGTATCTATAATTTTGGATTGTTTCATGCTATTATAGTATCAATCTTATACACTTTACATGCAATTTTATATTATTTTGGGAACCTAGTGCCCGGTGCCAGTTGTTGTTTTCTGCTTGTTTTTGGTTTTACAGAAAATCTATACCAAACAGAGTCCAAACATGACGAAACTTTTTGATGATTTTTTCTGGACATAAGAGACCCTAGAAGCTCCACGGGAGGAGCAGAAGACCTACGAGGAGACGACAAGGCAACAGGGCGCGCCCTAATGTCTTATGGGCCCCACATGGCTCCATATGACCTAACTCTAGTGCTATAAATTCTCAAATACTGGAAAAACCCAGAACATTCACCAAAACAATTTTTCCACCGCCGCAAGTCCCTGTTCTTCCGCGATCCCATCCGGAGGCCTTTGCTGATACTCTGCTGAAGGGAGAATCGGTCATGGAGGGCTTCTACATCAACTTTGTTGCACCTCCGATGTTGTGTGAGTAGTTCCCACAGGACCTATGGGTCCATAGTGATTAGCTAGATGGCTCTCTCTCTCTCCCTCCCTCTCCCTTTGATCTTCAATACAATATTCTCTTCGTAGTTCTATTCGATGTAATCTTCTTTTGCCATGCGTTTGTTGGGATCTGATGAATTGTGGGTTTATGATCAGACTATTCATTGAAAGTAATTGAGTCTTTTCTAAGATTTATTATGTGTGATTGTTATAGCTATGTAATTCCTTCCAATCTATGAGTTTTCTTTGGCCAAGTTGATGAGTAGATCTTTAGTGGAAGTGGTGCATAGTAGTGGGTT